TATTTGACAATCAATCTTACGAGTAAGATTCACTCGAATCAATCTCCTTTATGGCTATTAAAAATACTGAAAACGTCAGTTAATGTGGTGGTTCAAAGTCGGTACCCCTTAGCGACGAGGAAAAACTATTCAAGGCACGCTCACAAAACAGGATTTTGGTAGGAGTTAGGGATTGTTTTCAAAATTTCCGAACAGCTCCCCCATCCTTTTTTTATACGAAAGTTCCCCCGGGGTCTCCTTCCGCATGAAGGCATTGATACAATGTATCTCGAATTAGATATCAATGAGTGCGCTAGTAACCCATGTCTGAACGATGGAACTTGCACTGACCGAGTGAATGGATTCACGTGCAGCTGTGTGCCGGGATTCAGTGGAAATAGATGCGAAACAGGTTAGTTAGCAAGCACAGTGGAATGAATTGAAAGGAAAAGGAATGGAGATAACGTTTTCGTTACAACAGGGACTCGTTGAAAACGACTGTTTCCGTCATTGCGGGGATTTCGTTATACCGGGGCGTATCATGTATGTTAAATATGTTGCTATCCTGAAGAGATCATATACAAGCCAGTAACATTTTATCAAAGGCGTATATCGAAAGTCCCAAATAAGAAATTTTGACAGCGCAATCACAAGCAAACTTTTTAAATCAATCCGATAATCGCGAAGGCCTGTTTTTGACAAGTTCTGATCCAGTACTCCTTTTCCCAGATGAAAGACTTGTCAGCCAGTCACGCCAACACCAAGCACTAATCCGGCTGCTAATTATGTTGTCTTTGCGACACCAAAAGTTAACTGTATCTTTTTTTACTGCAACGATCCCATTGTAAACTTTTAATATTTCACAGAGCTACGTCAGTCAGGGCACGCCAGTCAACTATTATATTTAGATGAAAGTGAAGAACGATCATCGTAGTAAATTTTCCAATTTAAGCAATTGGAGAGAAGAAGCCTGAAAAAATCAGGGCTTCAACGGGAGTCGAACCCGTGACCTCCGCGATACCGGTGCGATGTTCTGCCAATTGAGATAATTGACCTCGCTCCCAATGTGTGGCTTCATAGCTCAGTTGGTAGAGCATCGTACCGGTATCGCGGAGGTCACGGGTTCGACTCCCGTTGAA